GAAATAGTTTTTCCTGATATCCAACCTGGACCTCAGGAAAAACTATTTCACTAGGAGGGTGGTGAAACACTGGAATGCGTTACCTAGGGAGGTGGTGGAGTCTCCTTCCTTGGAGGTTTTTAAGGCCCGGCTTGACAAAGCCCTGGCTGGGATGATTTAGCTGGGAATTGGTCCTGCTTTGAGCAGGGGGTTGGACTAGATGACCTCTTGAGGTCCCTTCCAACTCTGATATTCTATGATTCTATGATTCTATGATTCTATGTAGCTTACAGAGGGAGATAAGGGATTATGGTTGTCGGGCTAAAGCGTAGAATCTTGCGACTACCCGGCGCAGCAGAGGCTTGCTGTGCAGAGCAGATCTCCATCCTGAGGCAAAAAACGTCCATGCGCTGGTGTGAATCTGCATAGCCAGTTCAAGCTGCAGAAAGCCTCTTCTGTGCTCTGCAGTGCTTTCAACACACACTGGAGCAGCACCCGAGAAGGAGCTGTCCCTGAGATCCGTCTCTGCTGCTTCACTCCATGTGCAAGCAGCAAAGTGAAACGGACCCCTTCTCATCTCTGCAGCATGACCTGCTCCAGCACCAGAAGGGAGAGACCTTGAACACACAGGGAGAGGAGAGGTGGGAGGGAATCAGACAGGGAATGCAGGAGGGAACAAGGAGGGATAGCAGGGGGAAGCCAAGGAAGAGGCAGCGGACCTGGGGAGGAACAGACTAGGGAGGGGATGCAAAGGAGAAGAGAAGGTGAAGTGGGGAAGAGGAGCTGGAGAGGGATGGTTTGGGAGGTGGGATGCCAGCGAATGTGCACGGCTGGGAGGAGGGAGACTAGAAAGAGGGGAAGGGGTCCAATGTTGCTGATGGGAGGGAATGAGGAAAGGTCCTGGGGGAGGTGAGTCCTGGTGCTCTCTTCTCTCATACAGGAGCATGTCCCCTGAGATGTCTCCTCTAGTGTCATTAAGATGAAAAGGCAGAGAGCAAATCCCAGCACATTGTGCTTGTGCAAACAACCTGGTTATCGCCCCTCCCGGTGCATAAACACAGCACCTCCCAGCCCAGCCAGGCCCTGGCGCAGGGGCGAGAGAGCTGTGCACACCTGGGCACTCTAGCAAGCACCATCTACAGGGGAGACTGCACGATATTCTCTCTTCCTGGCCCTCCCCTCTGGAAATTAACCACTCAGAGCCACAAACCTTACCTTGAACATGCTGCAGATGCTGGAGAGCTGCCACTGTGGGCACTCCTTACACAGCGGGCACATCTGGTACTGATCCTCGCTCTCACAGATCTCCTGCCTGGGGAGGAGGGAGGCAGACAAGGAAAGAAATCAGGACCATGGTACATTCTCTGCTCTAGGCCACCCTTTCACCCCTCTTGAGGCCTCATTCTTTCCAGTGATGCAGGACTAGCCAGGACCCCATGGGAGCCCATAAACACTGATCCTTAAATCAGCCCGAGGGTCCTGGGGGAGCGAAGCTGCTGAGCACATTCCTCTTGCAGGTCCCCAGGTGAGAGCACGGCACTCGGGATCAAAGCTGGGATGCTCACGTGGCAGCACAGAGCACTGGCCTTTGCTGCTCGTCCTTGCCCTGGACAGAAACACCTCATGGAGCTTTCCCGCAACAGTTTCCTCTGGTTAGAGTTTAGCCATTGCCTCGCCATGTTGGAACCTGGGACCAGACAGCAGAGCCATGGTGCTGGGAGGAGCGGGCGGCCACATGCTGTGAAGACCTGGGTGACATTTCCCTGCAGGGTGTTTAGGGGACTTTGACCCCGTTGCAGTTGGGTTATTCACCAGGAGTTTTGCTTGGAAGCCTGTGAGAAGCCAGGTTTGCTCGACAGTGAGCATGCATTTTGGGGGTGCTGTGGCCTAGTGGACTGACCTCAGGGGAGGCAGCCAGGAATTGCTGACTTCTGGGCTCCCCTGGGGCTTCCCCCACATCCTCCAGGCTGGAGACAGCCAGTGGGAGAGGGAAAGAGGAAGCAGGGACAGAAAGGGGAGAGAGGCTGGCACTTACGCAGGTATGTCGCTCAGCATCAGAAATATGCCTGCAATGAAAACCAGTGTCCCCACAACTGCCGCAGGCAAGAGCCACCCAGTGTAGAAACCTAAAGAGAGGGAAGAGAGAAGGCCCGTCCCTCAGACTGGGAGTCTCATTGCAAACACAGGACCTGTAGCCAACCTGCACCCTCATCTCAGCAGCACAGCCCAGTTCAGAGCCCCACATTCCTAGTGAAAGCAATTGCGGAGCGAGGCACTGCATCCCAGCAGCTGAAGGAGAGTCCCCTGCTAGCCATTGTAAAGGAGGATTCCCACCATGTTCTGCACCACGTTCTCAGAGGTCACTTGGGGAGCGGGGCCTTCCTCCCATCTACATGCGGGTAAAAGGGGAGGTTAAGGGTTATCTCACCCTGGCATTGACTTCAAGAGCCTCCTGCTGGCTGTGTCGTCACCCTGAGACGTGGCCTCCAGAGAGAGGCTGGGTTTGGTAATGGCCGTAGGGCAGGACTTTCAAAACCATTCAGTGCTGGCTCAGTTCTGCTCCTACGGAGCAGAGCTTGCCCAGTGCCGAGTGGCAGTGGGAACCCCACCTTCATGTCCAATGCACAGGGACAACGATCCAAGTTAATCAAGTCTGGAGGCAGGGCAGAGTCTGTTACGCTTGCCAGTATGCCAACGATTATGTTCTTTGGCCATACATCAACTTTTTGTTTCTCCCCCTTCCAGACCTATTTTTAATTAATTTTGTCCATTTCTCTCTCCTTTTTCTTCTATTCCTTCCCTCCCTTCCTATTGCACCTTCTCCCTCCAGTGACAGACAGTGGGAATGGATGGTGTTCCTGGGGGAAGCCTCAGAGAAAGGATGGGGGGGGGAGGTTGCATGTAGATCGAGGCTCCAGCTACAATCTCTGATCAGGAGTGCCACAGCTGGGGTCCCATCATGGAGAATGTCTGTCCCAGCTTGTCTTGATGGGCTGTGGTGAAGGGATGAGCGTCCTGGTCTACGGAGGGTTTTGTAGATTAGGACTAGGACTTGAAACTCAGCCCCATCACAGACAGGGACCAGCAAAGCATCCATTGCTCCTGGTTGGTCAGCCATGTTCATTTCAAATGCATCCCACAGCTTGGACACGACAGGAAGGGCTTCTGGCCATGGGAGCTTTCGGGCTGCTGCTCTGTGCAAGAGAGACAGCTTTCCTTGCCTGGGACATGGCAGACAATCCCAGTACAAGATAAACAAATGCACCCTAATCTAGCTTCTCTTAGCAAGAGATAGCAGGAAAGGGGCAAGAAGGATGATTAGTGAAAAATGGCAACCTGAGAAGGATCCTCCCTGCTCCTCTGGCAATGACACCCATGTGTCCGATGTAAAGGGTGCCCCTTGCTATAGTACAGCCCGTCCTTGGTCTGCACTGGGGAAGCAAAGCACTCTGCTTACACAAGTGATTGTTATTGTCTGCGTTGATCCCAGCATTCCCTGCAGCAGAACACAAGGAGGCCGACGCTCCAGTGGAGCATTAGCTCTTTCTGGAGAAGGTATCAGGTTAGGGCAGAGCTGGGTGCAACAGGAGGTGGTCGAGGGAGCAGTAAGGAGCAGGGCAGAACAATGCACACTGGTGCTGGTGGTGTCCTTCCACTGCTGGCTAGAACCCATCCCTTTGTGCCACATGGCTGAAGGAGGCATTATTCTTCACCAAGCCTGATTTCTATGAGACTGGACAGTCTGATCTCCTGATCAGCAAGGCTCCAATTCCTTTTCCAGTGGGCATGAGGAACACACGGCTATCGCAGCTGAGGAATTGGTTGGAGACAGAGGTGCAGGCTAGAGGTTAAAGAGAATGGGGCAGAAGATCCATGGCAGCGTATTGACATGTCTGGCTGGGGCCAGGGATGAAGGCAGGTTGTAGGGAGGATCCGAAGAGCATTGTACTCACCCAGCCAGGCAAAGTAGAGCGCGATCTTCTCTCCAAAGTACCTGCGGATGTGATCCAGTGGCTGGTATCTGTTCCATTTCCGCCACCTCGCCCAGTACTGGAAGAGGACCTGGCGCTCGGTCAGGCTCTCAGGGGCTAGCCCGTCAGCAGGTACTGCAAAGGGACCCTGCAGGGGAGAAGCAGGGAGGGTCCAACTGTGGCTGGTGAAAGCATTTCAGCTGCCCATGCAGAGCAGAGCAGCTGGCTGGGCTGGGGAGAGGGGTTTGACAGCAGCCCCCTGCCTCTCCAGCTCCCCACAGCCATGCTTCCCCAACCCCAGTTACCTCTGTGTTCTTTTGGAAAGGCTGAATAAGGAGCTTTTTGAACAGCCCGGCCCCCTCCTGGGCAGAGGCCACCAAGTGCTCTGTCTTGGCCAGGGCTCCCTGTTGCCCCCTGAGCTGTAGATCGGAGCATGACCAAAGTCCAGTCTGGCTGAGGTAGCAGGGAACCGGTGTTAGAAAGAGGCTGTCTCCTGACTTACCTCATGCAGGGGGAATGCAGCTGCAAAGACATTCTCGCTCAGCAGCCGATCCACCCCAACCTCCCCCTGCTTCAGGTGGCCATATGGCGTCGTGGCCAGGATCTCGTACAGCTGGGGGAAGCAAAGAGATGGTAACTAACTGCTGTCACACTGACGAAAGATACAACGAGAGTCCCATGATCTCTCTCTAAGCACCGACACCAGGCTCCGCACTGCGCTATGGAGACCCATGCCTCAAAGGTTCTCAGCAACCACCTTTCCAGAGGGAAATGGAGAATTCGGGTGGAAAGAGACTAAACAAGTTCAAATGAATTCAGGTACAAGAAGTTGGTTTTTGCCACCAATTCCAAGCCTTACTCTCATAGGCATTGTAACATTCCCTTCCCCAGACATTGAAAACTGAAAGAGAAGGGTTCGTTTTTAGTCAGCCTCTTTAAACTTTGCGTGTGTTAAAATCTATTTAACTCCAATTGCCAATGAAGACTTAGGAGAAAAGTTGTCTGTTAAAATTCAAACCCCACACTGCCCGTGAATGAGCAAACTCCTCACACTACATCTCCTTCAGACTCCACAAACAGCCTAAACCAGAGAAGACCAGACTTAACATCCCTGATATTTCTATTGTTAACAAACAAGAAAAACAACTTCGTTTGAAACACATCTTTCAGGACTTTATATATCATAAAGCAACACAAATGGGTGAGAACTATTTTTTAAAAAAATCTTTGTAGGATTCCTTTAAGCCTAAAGTCACACAAATGAGGAGGAGAATGCAGACAGGAAAGAGAAAACAAATGGCTGTTTTCTTAATTCACTATTTTCTTCTTTAAAATAAGTGGCCTATTTTCTCTGTGTTTTATAGCTGCTTTTCCATTAGCAAGGCAGTATCACACCAGCCCAGTCAATATGGTCAGGAACAAACTCACAGCACATATGTCTTGGTGTCCTCACAAATACACTGGTAATTTGCTAGCAGCCATGTTTGTATCAGTTCTGACCTATATCTTGCAAAGTGCACTTTTGACAGGCTGTAGTCCATGGGCAGACACTGTCCCAGTGGGAGAAATTCATCACATCTGGGGTTTTGACTTTCCTCATTGGAAGTCAAGTTTTTGGCACCAGGCTGCATGGCTGCTTGGCTTACAGCACAAAGAGATGGAGCAGGAAGGAAGACCCTCCTATCTTGAGGTTTATAAATAGCAGGATATCGTTGATCATTAGTGGGCTTGGCAGAATTAGATTTTTATCTTTTTATAATTAATGGATAATATTGATGTTTATTTTAAGCAGTTTTTTATCTATTTAAACTTTCAGAGTTACACAAAATTATGGGTTTTAAGCATTTTTTAAATTTTTATTAATTTAAGTTTTCATAGCGGCAGGAAATAATGGGGGGGAGGGGTCAGACAATTATTTAACGATAGTAGATGTTGTGATTCACAAAGTTAAAGTTCTATAACCGTTAAAACAAAATTGACAGCATTAAATCAAAATATACAAAGTAAATATCCTTGAATCACACTCTAATACAAGCAGCATTTTTCTTACTTTACTTATCTGTGAGTTTCGCTTATGGACGGAAATATTTTTTCGTCAGTTTGCATTGTACAGTAAAATTGACCTTTCTTGATAAAAATCTAATCCTTCCATCTAACCGTTAGTTATTGTCTCACACCCTGGCAGGACATGACCAGTATGTTCAGTGACTGAGCTGACAGAGGCAGGATGGTCCAATAATTAGGGCAGTGGTCTAGGACTTGTGAGACCTGGTCCTGCTCCACCACAGATTGTGTCTGTGAACTTGGGCAAATCACCTACCCTCTCTGTGCCTCAGTTCCCTACCTGTAAATGGGGATAATAGCTCTGCCCTGCCTCATAAGCTTTAAAGATTGTGAGGTGCTCAGATACAATGAAGAGGGGGGCCCTGTAAGTCCCTAAAATAGATAGCTGATTCCCCACTACCTTGCGCACTGCAGCCATTCACACCGAGGCAGCAGAGCAGAGATGCGTGATTTGGTAAAATTTCACACTCACTTTGCACAGGAGTAAGTGACCCTCTTTCTTTAGGCTGATCAGGATCTGGGATGTGCCTAGTGCCCAAACAGCCAGGGTCACAAGCCCACTCCTTACTCAAGCTACCCCCTAAACTGAACCTTCCCTCTGCTTAAATGTCAACCTCCCTAGAGGCCACCATACCTGCCCCCAACCTAAGCCCATGCCTCCCTGGAAGCCCTGCACCCTCCAGATTCAAGTGGGTAGGGTTACCATACGTCCGGATTTTCCCGTACATGTCAGGCTTTTTGGGCTTCAAATCCCCATCCGGGGGGGGAAATCCCAAAAAGCCGGACATGTCCGGGAAAATCGGGACATGCGGGGCCGGCGGTGCTGGGTCGGGGGCTGGGGCCGGGCCGGGGGCCGGGTCGGCGGTGCTGAGCCGGGGGCCGGGGCCGGGCCGGTGGTGCTGGGCGGGCCGGGGGTGCTCGGCCAGGGGCTGGCCCGGGGCCAGCACCTCAGGGCCCGAGCTGACCCAGGCTGGAGACGCTGGGGGGGCCAGAC